CGGGGAGAAAACCCTGCCCAGGCCCTGAGCGCACTGAGCTCAGGGAGGGGGGACARGAAAAGGCAGCATGCAAAAAATTAACACCAATTGAGAGAGTTTTGTGACAATTTTGAGAAAAAGGTGAAATCCCTCTCCCTTGGAAGAAAGGCAAGGCGCCTCGCAGGCTGTTTCTTCCTGGGAGACTGTCCTCCCTGCCTCGGATKAGCTTTCATCTGCACAGAAATTACAAGCGCTTTGCGATGAAAATCAAGGGCAATTTTTCCTTTAAAGTCTCTAGCGCTTGTCCCTCCCTGCTTATTTGTGTTGCAGGCTTTAATTTCAAATCCCCAGCCCATGAGGAGGTTTCCGGGAGCTGCCCATGCTCCCGGAGAGAGAGAATGACCCAGGAGGGGAGGGAAGGCACTGCTGGCTCCCTGCACCGAGGAGCCGTGTCCATGGGTTGGGAAGAGTTTCCTCCTTCCTGAGAGGTGTGCGGAAGGCAGGGAGGCCGCGTGGAGACGCTGACTCATTTCTTGGTCCGGGATATTTTCATTGGGCTCCGCAGATGGAAATAGGTTTCCAAAGCAGCAAGCGGCCGGGCTGAGTGCCTCCTGCTTGGTGTCCTGGCAGGTAATAGTTTAACTTGCATCTCCTCGGAGGTGCTGGCCCCAAGCAGAGCAGRAATGGCTGCTTAGGAGGAGCGAGCCCTTGGAAAAGCCTTTGGAAAAGGCCTGGCCCTGGAGCGCCCATCTTGCGGGGAGGGATGGGAGAAGAGGGTGTGGGCAGAGGGGACGCAGGAAAGTCGCTCCTGCCTCTACCCCCAGCTTGGAGATAACGCTGCTTAGTCTGGGGAAGCTCCTATCTCCAGGACAGGACAGCTGCTGCCATGACGTTGCTCCTGGTCCGCTACCACGGTGCGATATCACCTATTGTAACAGCTAAACGTGCCTGGAAACCACTAACCGCCCYGCTGCGACRCCTGCAGCTGCGGAGCCGGCCCCGACTGTCAGCAGAATCAACACCACCTTTTCGGTGTGCTCTTCCCGCAACACTCGGCKSCTYCCTCCTCCTCCTCCCCGAGGCCCAGCCTGTCCCACGGCCCCCTGCTCGCTGTGGGAGGGCATCAAACCGGGAAGCGTGCGGAGAGCAGCAAGGGGAAGGAATTTAATATGAAAATAGATCTGCGCAAGGGGCTGCCACGAAAGCTGCATAATTCATTTTACTGATTAATTAATTAGAAGTCTCCTTCTGGAAGCCAAGTAGAGCTGCTGCAGAATTCCTAGCCCGATCAAGGGCAACATCAAAGGGTGCAGTAACTTTGTGGCAGAGCAGGGCTCGATTCGCAGGAGATCACACGGCAGCAGAGTCGGAAAGAACCAGGTTTGAAAACGCTGATGAAGTCCTGCTCACAAATGTTGCCCTTTTTTGAAGGCTGGATAGTTGCTGCAGAGACAAAAAAAAGCCCGGAGACATAATATTCTTCAGATGGGCTTTTACGAGTCCAAAGGCCATAGTCTGCGCCTGGCGCRGCCTCTGACTGGACTAAAGGGGACGCGAGTTCCCTCCGGGGCAGGAACGCAGACACCGGCTCTCCTTCCCGTGAGGGAGACTGGAAGTTTCCTCCCACAAAGGATTTTCCTAAGGTTTTGTCAGTCATTTCACCCCTTGGGTTGCAATGCAGTGATGTCCCACTTTGGTGCCCCTCTTTGGGAGTCAGTTTTCCCAAGCCACGGAAAGGGGATRGAAACCCACCTTGGTTCAGACGAGGTGATGGTGATGGTCTGAAGAAGGCTCTGTAGGGCCAGATATCCCCATTGCCATAAAATCCCTCCCTCCCTGCAGAGAAAGGTGTTTCTGGATCTAGATTGCTTCTCACCCCTCCATGCCACTTGCTGCTCTGCCTTTAATGTGATGCTCCCAAGGCTCCCTCTGCACGGCTGCTGGAGCTGGGATCAGGGCAGAGGATCTCGCTGCTGGGTCCCTAATTTTGCAATACGTGGCCAGCGTTTGCAACAGAGCCCTGCACCAAATCCATCCGTCATGAAGATCGCTGCTCGGAGGCCAGGATAGGAGTATTTATTTGTCAGAAAGTCTGCGAACATCTTGATTGTTGTTGTTGTGGCCAATGTTTATGCATCGGAGTCAACGCTACGGGGATGCTTTCTTTCTAAACAAACAAAAAATCCCCTAAGAACAAAGCTGCGGGTGATGCTCTTATCTTCTCCCTAGCATTGGGAGAGCACCCTGGGCAGGCTGGTGGGCAGCCAAGCAAAATTTATGACTTCTTTTAACCTGCTTTGCTGACATCATGAAAAGCCCTGTCAAAAAGAGCACTCTGAGTCCCARCAACAACGCTGTGAGGCATCAGTGCTGCAGTGCTCGTGGATAACAGCGAAGCTGTCCTAAGATATCCCTTAAGAGGTGCCTGCAAACTGTACTTTCTGGAAAGGGATAGGGCTAAAGTTATCGTCTGGTAGGTTGTTTTGGTTCTCTTGATGCTTTATTGATCTGATTTTTCCCCTGGTTTGAATATTTGCTTGGAAGCATGAAACTATGATTTTCCATATGCCAGCTAATTAACAAAAATTAAATGCGTTGCTTAAAGGAGACGCTGCTAACAAGGACATGTCTAATTACGTGCGTGTACAAGCTTGGATTTGCAAGCGCTATCAATACGCCTGCGCGTGCATCGGCACGACAGCAGCCTCCATCTGAGCCCTGCGTTATTCCCAGCTTCAGCACCTCATCCCCATGAGGAGGTGACATAAGTGGTCCCGGTGAACTGGACGTGGCCGCGTCATTTAAAGCTCCCTTGTCCCCACCTGATTCCAGCACCGGGGCTGACAGCTGGGACAGAATGAGGTCTTTTCCCTTCTCCCTTTATTTTTTTCCCTCAGTCTTTTCTTGACTAAGTTCAATGCTGCTGTTTCACAGCGCTAAGCTCTTCCTGGCAGAAATACAGCGCTTCAGTGCTGCGTCTTAAAATCCTGCTAAGTTTGCAAAGGTTTTCCCTGCTTTCTTGTTGTGACCGGCACTGAGGGCACGTGGTGCCGCAGATCCTCGAGTTTTCATTGTCCTAAGTGCTTATCTGTGGGTCTGGTTTGGCATTGCTGCATGTTAGACCAGTGAGGCACTGGCATACAGTTGAAACGGATAAAACAATGCCAAAGAAGGAATGATAAACACGCCCTCGTCCAAGCAAATAACAATACGCCAGCCTGAGAATGACAGTTGAGATCTCYGGTTTCCTCCCGCCACCGTGGGAAAGGGAAGCTGCCCCTGTCCTTAGACAGCGGCGATTGCTTCCTWCATTTGTGTGGAGAAAGCCGGGGCTTGGCCCATCCCGGGGCCGGGAAAACGGGGCTTCAGCAGCTCCGGCGCCGAGCGCGGCACAGGCTGCTCTCAATATACGCCATAAACAACAAGGGTAATTTCCTTTTAACCATCTCAAGAACGAAAACAGAGCGTAACCGACACAGTTAAGCTCTGGTTTTCTGCGGATGCAGCAGATCCAGCCTCTTTCATCYGTAGGTGCAGCCGGGCAGAAAGCAGGTTGCAAGGGTAGGTGTCTTCACTAAACCAGAAGAAAAATGCTAGAATTTGCCCCCCCCCCAAAATATATATATATTATATACATATTTATATACGTTCAGTGTTGTATTGTTCTTTTGGAGGTAGGTCTGTTGCTGGTTGTTTTGTGCRGGTTCCTTCTTGACAGCTCACGCTCCACGTATAAGAGGAAGGAAGCTGTGGTTAACATGTGGTTATAGCTCTGGAAAGTGGCAATACAAATTACAATCTGGGATTATTCTGCATTTTAGTGTCTCGCCATTACCTGCGTGAAATCCGCATGGATTAGAAGGGAAAAAAAAATAAGGCAAGCAACTTCTAAAAGCCGCTTACAGCGCTCAGCCCCACGGGCTCGGCTGTGACAGCAGGAACATTGAACTTTGCCRTCGCCACAGCCAAGCTCCCATTGGGCTGCAATTAGCGATTGTGGTGACGAAGCGAGACGCGAGCGGGCCCCGTTAACGGGGACGGCTCAGGAAAAGGGAAGGGGAGCTACTCTGAGGGCTCAGGAGGAGCAATGAGGAGTTACTCGGGCATTTTTATTTCTACTGCCCTAACAGCAGCGGCGGGACTGGCTCCAGCGCTGTGTCACGCGGCAACATTTAGCGCTCCAAGGCGCACACTTGCCCCGTCCCCGCCGCCCCGCCCCGCTCC